TTCATTGCGGATGTCTTTGAGTTAGCAATTTCCTCTACGTGGAGTGCACCGGCGACACCTTCCACGTAGACCCAGTGGCATGGTGAGATTGTGTGGAAGGGGAGCTCATTGAGTTTGAGTGGGTACTCTGGGGTTGAGATGGTCGTGTGGAGCTCATTGATGAGGGCTGGAGTGCATGTGCAGCGATGACTGTCAAGGATGCTGGGCCAGCTGGGGTGTCAGGTGATTTTGAGGTACAGGAGCTTCTTGTCGTGCTTGTTGGCCAGGCGTCTGTTGCGCTGTTTGCCAGCAAAATGCCAGGTCCAGAGGAAACAGGGCATTGTAGGCGATAGCAGTAAGAGTTTTTGAAAAAGGAGTGTAGTATGGTGTTGGTTGGCAGGCAGGTTTGTAGTGTAGACGTTGAGGGGCTGGAAGAGTGTAGGAGAACGGGTACATTTATTTTTAAGCTCGAAGCAGGAAGACGCTGGGGATTGGTCATAAAATTCATATTCCAGGGGCAGAAAGATACGCTAGGCTAAAACTAGACAGGACCTTACATGGCGGGCGCAAGGATTGCATTCATGCAGAGGTGGGATGATCATGGTATGGTTGGTATAAGTACATGAGGGCTTGGTTCTACAGTGGGATGCATGATAGGGATGGGCACCTGGGACACACTTTTTTATCGATTGGCGGGAGAAGAGATCTAGCGCCCATCGGTGCCGCCCGAGAGGCACTCAAACGTGGCCCATCATCAAGCGATGATGGTTTGGATGGTCTCAGAGCTTCTGTGTTAGGCCAGACAGGTTGTTATAACTATTACTTTGAGAACTGTGAGATGGGTCTGTTAGGAGAGAGTGGAAATATGTGTATTTCAGGGTGGATGCGGCGGCTGGGCCGTGAATGTTGGTTGCGGCGTGGGTGGTGCGCTGGGAGGTACATTTGGCATGAAAGCCGCGTCATTGGCTTCCCCCTCGAGAGGGGTACTAGTCCCTCGGACCACTGAGAGGTCGACGCTGGGCCTGCCGTTTGGCAGGTCCTTTCCCAAGGGTATGCATTTGATAATAAGCCTAAAGCGAACCCTCTCAGCATAAAGAAACCTCTGATTGAGCACTTTTTCTTCGCAGGCTTTGAGGGGAGTTACAGCATGTTCTAGGCCTTTCAAAGTGTCTTATACACTTCTGTGCATGTCTATTATGAATTTATAACATCATAGAGGCTGTAGCATCTCTTCATAGGGCCTTGTGCTACTTTCAGCACCAAAGAAATAAAATTTTAATAGAAACAATAGAATAATATATTATACAGTGGTCCAATTTGGTCTAAATGTTACTTAAACACTCTACATAGGTATATGTACCAAACCTACAATGTTTTGAGGGCAGAGGAAACATGGAGAGAAAGGAGTTGAGCCAGGAAAGGCTCCAAAAAGCGAAATTGATGTAAGGAGCCAGATAGCCAGGTAGCAGCTTGGTGACACTTGATGAAACTGATGAAGCTTAAGTTTGCACTAAATCTGCAAAAACTCGACTCTCAGCGAGTATTTTGTGAATAGCGGGCCTAATATTAAGTTCTAACATATGTTTTATATAGCAGATATGTTTTTATATATGTTCTCCAACTTTCTATAACATAAAACGAAAATAAGCGCCCAAACATGTTATATTATATAGTGTCTTTCAAATCAGGCATATATTTAATAAGATATTGTATGTTATATAGAGGTTCTAAGCATGCCAAGAGATGCCAGGCAGTTATTATAGGTCTAAAATTGCCTTATACAGTTGCTAGGCTGATTACTAGTATGTCATGCAATGCGTTTGATAGTATGTGCTACTATATCAAGCTTGAGACTAGGGCCAAAAGGTGCAAGCAGGGTAATCAGACATTTGCGGACTATCTCTCAGAGTTCAAAACTTGGTCCCATTGCACTGGCTGGTCAGACAATAATCTATACAATCGTCTCAAGTCTGGTATGAACCCCGACTACATCAACAGGCTGTTCTACTTTCCAACCTTGGCTACCGACTACACAATAGTTAAGACATATGGTGCAACAATTGACCTGCAAAAAGCAAACTTGGTGGCT